TTACTTGCAGTCTATGAGGCATGGAAAGCTAAGAATTTTTCAGGGCCATGGTGTTTTGAGAACTTTGTTCAGTCTTGATCCTTGAGGAGGGCAAAGGATGTCAGAAAACAGCTTCTCAGCATCATGGACAAGTATGTTCTTCAAATTAATCTTGATGTGTATTCGTGGTTGCATGGATCTTTTTTTCTGGTTTCACATGTGCATGAATGGTTTTAAAAGATGTAGATTAATGTTCTAGGTTTGCACATGTTTGGTACATTGTATTTTTGCAGTAGTCTTGAATTAGGCATGCCTTTTGCTGTCTGTACTTGATGGAATTGCTGAAATGTTGTTCAGGCCTAGTTTGTGTGTTAAAATCTAGATATATGGTACCTGAGCAGCGAATAGGTCATTAGGAGTTGTAATGTTGATGTTACCTCAACACTGTTTTCAGAGCATTATTAGCAGAAGTGCATTTTTCCACCATTTTTTCAGTGGTTAAGTATTGTATCTTTATAAATTATAACTACCCTTTTGTGTATGGGTAAATTGCCAGTATATGCTCTTCAAATGTGCTCTCTTGTGCGGAAATGTTAGTCATTTTGATACCGGAATTGTTTTTCTTGGTAAAGTGTTGTTTGTACAAAATATATTGCAAAACTGTTTTAAAAGTTGATATGGAAATTCAGATGGCATATTACACATACTACCATCGCCATTACAGATTTCATTGATTGAACATAGCATTGTCATGTAAGCTCTAGGATAGATTATTATAAAGATTGTGTATAAAAACCTAGCATAATTTTGTCATGCCAATGTCTCTACTAGCACCCCTTGCCTTGCTTTATTTTGTAACAGTGATCAACGGTTTCTAAGTTGAGTATTCTGATTTGAAGATGAAATTGCATTCTGACTATAGGTTGTGAATTTCAGGTATAAACTAGATGTTGTGAGTGCTGGAAAGAATTTTACAAAGATCAGGAAGGCAATTACGGCGGGGTTTTTCTTCCACGGTGCTAGAAAGGACCCGCAGGAGGGTTATAGAACCCTAGTGGAGAACCAACCAGTTTATATACACCCAAGCAGCGCCCTCTTCCAGAGACAACCGAATTGGGTGATCTACCATGAGCTGGTTATGACCACAAAGGAGTACATGCGCGAGGTGACGGTCGTCGACCCCAAATGGCTCGTGGAACTGGCACCTAGGTTCTTCAAAGTGGCAGATCCCACCAAGATGAGCAAGCGCAAGCGTCAAGAACGTATTGAACCGCTATATGATAGATACCATGAACCTAACTCCTGGCGTCTTAGTAAGAGACGTGCTTGATATGTGTATCATCTGCTGCTTTTGGTTTTTCTGTATGGATTCAATGTGAATATCTTGTAATTACTTGAGCTAATTTTTGACATTGAGTGCACAAAATTTGTGTGGCTTCATTACTTTTTAACATCCTCGTGAAATTCCTTCAACGTCGCATAAGGGCATCATCAATTGCTTATTTTCCTTACTGCAAGCAAGCTTGGGGTAGAATCTGTTGCGTAATTTAAAAGCTATTTTATTTCTTGATTCTACTTTAGGAGATATTAGTAGTTCTGTTCTCTGGATATTAGTATTTCTTGAATATTTGATGTATTTTAGCATTCAAATATGTATGGCCTTCTCTGATCCTAGTTTGTTAGCATTCAAATATTTGATGTATTTTAGCATTCAAATATATATGTATGGTCTGGGTTCTCCCCCAAGAAGTTGAAGAATCTTTGTACTGGTAATTTCAGTTTGTTGGGGAAAATGTTTGTTGGCTTCAGGCTTTAAGCCAAGAAAAGTATGGATAAATAAACCATTTAGTTTTATAACCTCGTTCAGAGACCGGAAGTACCTTCAACTACATAAAAGTTTCAACTATAAAAGTTACATCAAGCACGGATGTTCCAAGTACACTAGTACAGTTTCCTCATTTAGTTTCACTTCCTGCTAACTAATGTCAGCTATTAATACTGAGACTGCTAACTAATGTTACCAACCAAGCAATCTGAGGGGTTGTGGAAATCTGCATTCTTTAGTGTAGAAAACTCATCCAGTATGTTCGAAAATGACGGTTGCCTTCCAACATCAATGTTTGGACAACCAAGAATGGTCGTTTAAGACTCGAAGTCAGAGAAGGAAATATGAAAAGATTTTCAGGAGTCTCAATTTCCCATGAACTAACCCTGTTCTGTTTATCACAACACCCTGGCTCATCCCATGAACATTCAAAGCAAACAGAAAAACCCTTCATTATAATATTGATTAGGGAACATAAAAGCAAGATCACTTGGTAAAAGCTCAGAGTAGCTTAAGCCACCTGAAGATTCCGCCACTTTGAACCAGGCCTTCTCCTCTGTGCCTCTGGGATGGATCCTTGATTTCTGGAGGTGCAGGCAAATTTTCAATAGCCTCTACAATATGGTTTAATGAACAAAATTTTGTGCGTTCTTGGTCACCCTTTAAAGATCATCACAACAAAAGGGTTATTTTAGTCATAAGGTAGCATACCTAGAACATACCCTTGGCCCCTAGTCATTAACAATCAAGTGCTCTGTTCAATATTTTCCAAAAGGGTATCTTCTGCTAAAATTGGTGGACGTTACTTTCCCAACCAATTTGGACTTCTAATAAGCCACTATCAAGGTGACCAACAAGTTTATGAAAACCAGGTTCATCTGGGACTGGGTCTGGCCTATCAAGTTTTTTGTTTGTTTTTGGTTACAAGCGATATTGGGAGGACGGTATCACATCTAGGACCTCGAGTGCAGGGATAGATGCTCTTAACCGCTTGAGCTACAAGTCCCTTGCTAGCCTATCAAGTTTAAGCAAATGGTCAATGCGAGTATTTGGGTTTGCCTACCAAGTTTTCATTATGGCTCTACAAATGTTTGTAATATCCAAGAGAGAGCAGTGATTGGCCTGCAGGCCTTGATGGAATTGCATATGTTGGAGCCTTTATGCTACACAACACTATATATCTGCAAGTAATTGGCAAGAACTTGAACATTTCTACAATTGAAAAGAGAGAAAATGCTTGTGATTGCTTTTCTAGGAAGACCTTCAATCTTGTACTCCACACACAAGATTTAGCACACATTCTATACATAAACTTTGGTACAAGGCATTTTGCAGCTCACAAGTAAGCCTAATACAATCTTAAAATCCACAAAATAGAGCACTGCAAGCCTGACCAAATACAAAAAGTCTGTTTACAAAAAGGCATCTTCTACTATGTGGCTAGAACAAGATGTTGAATTATGAAAGGAAAGAATGACCAAAACAGAGCCACACATTTACAAGGAGAAGCTGTACGTTGCAAATAGATGACCAAAACAGAGCCACACATTGTAATTTGAAAACAAGTCCGCTTTGGCTTTGGCTTAGTTAATTAAAATAACACTATAGCTGGAACTAAAACATTAATCAGAGTGAGCTTGGATTAAAATGGATTTGTTTATTTCTCTCAACAAAAAAAAAACATTAATCGGAGAACTCTGAATTAATTGTTATGACAAGCAATTGACCGTAATATAACTCATATTTATTCCTACTAAACACTCCAAATTAACTCGTAAACTCTTCTCCAAATATCTGTGCGTGCGCGTACTAGCAATCTTCAACACTTGAACTGAAAGGAGGCATTCAGCTACAGCTACTTTTCTCCTAATTTAGATGCTGCAACTAAATATCAAAGTAAACAAATTAATACCAGTCAGTTTGGAGAAAAGAAAAAATGCAATAAGAAAATAATTATAAAACGAAACTAATGATGAAAGAGAAAGAGTACCGTCACGAGCTTATCTATTAAGCATGTGCTAGCTTTAGTTGCCGCTTGATCAAAGCTACCCTCACATAAAGCCAATCATTTAAACCATTCAAGAACTTCAAGTATGCGTATCTCCATGACCTGTTGAATATCAAAGTGCCACAAACTCCCCAAAATCCAGCAGCAAATCCAAGCCCCATACTGATGTAAAATCCCAGTGTTATAAGCTCATCCTTATCCTCTTGATTGCTCAAGTCAATTTTCTCATTTCGATCGGCACACATCTTTTTAAGCGGAGGTCCACAGAGTTGAGGATTTCCACCATAAACAGAGGGATCAAAGCCTTGGAGCTGAGTGCCTGTTGGTATTTTGCCAGACAAGTTGTTATATGACAAATCCAAGAAACTAAGACGATCTATCCGAGCAAGGCTTGTTGGAATTCCTCCATCTATCTGGTTTCTTGATAAATCAAGCGAATCCAATGACTGCAAGTTTCCGATCTCTGGAGTTATTTGACCTGTTAATTGGTTTCTCGAAAGGTTTAAAGAAATCAATCCAACCAGATGAGTGATTTCACCTGGAATCTCCCCTGTTAATCTATTTCTTGAGAGATCAATTCTCTTCACAAGGCCCAAAGTGCTTTTGTATGTCTGCATTCTTCCTTTCCATATGAAGCTTGCATCATCGTCATAATTAGTAGGAGCAATTGACTCAATACCCGTACTTCCGCCAAAAAAATGTGTGCTGGATAGACTTGGATTTCCTTTTTGAGCCAGAGTAGTCAAATTGTTGAGGCATTTGGGTATGCTTCCAGAGATGTTGTTCATAGAGAAATCCATAATTTTAATGTGTGTTAGATGGCATAATTGTGAGGGCATGCTTCCATTGAAGTGATTAGTGGAAAGCATCAGGATAACCAAATTCTTGAAGCTCACACCTAACCATGTAGGTATTGGTCCTGATAATTTATTATCTCCTAGATCAATAACTTCTAAACTTGTGCAGTTCTTCAACGATGAAGGCAATTCTCCAACAAATCGGTTGCTTCTTAATTTCAAAGTTTGCATTTGAAATAAAGAGCCTATTGTCATGGGAATTTTTCCAGAAAAGGTGTTGTTACTCAAATCAAGCATGATTAGAGTCTCCAAATGGCTCCTGCAATCTGGAAGTTCTCCAGCAAAACTGTTGCTTGAAAGATTAAGATATGTTAAACTCATATCTGCACTTGCACATAGGAAAGAAAGCGACCCTGAAATGTGATTATTAGAGAGATCCAGATAATAGACTCGTGACAGAGTTGAGGGAATTGGACCTTCTATTTGGTTCGAACTCAAATCTAGTCGTCGTTGATATTCATACTCCACTGTAACGTCTGCATTACGAAAATTACTCAAAAGCCAACTTGGAATGATATCAGAAATTCCAGCATTCGAAATATCAAGCTCGGCATAATAATTTTGAGTTTGAAGCCATTTTGGGAAATGTGGACCCATCTTGCAAGACCCCAAAGCTATGGAATATAACTGGAAGGGAGGAACCCAATCAGAATGGAAATTTAAAACTAGTGAGTTAGAGGATAATTCCAAAATAAATAATTTGGAAAGTTTTGAGAAATGAGTTTCTGAAACCACCCCTTCCAAAGAGTTTTCGATGAAATTGATTAACTCCAGTTGCGACATTTGCCCAATACTTTCAGGTATTTTTCCGCTTAATTGATTGAAGCCGAAACCGATGTTCTCCAGTTGCGACATTTGCCCAATACTTTCAGGTATTTTTCCGCTTAATTGATTGGCATAAAGATACAAGTCTCTCAAAGATGAGAAGCTTGTAAGATTGTTTAATGACCCCGCAAGAGCATTCTCAGAGAGGTCCAAAAACTTTAATGAGTTTTGAGCACATCTAGGCAACAGTTGAACAAACTTGGATAATTGTTCACTCAAATGATTTGTTTGAAGCGACAATGCTCGCAAATTACACAGCCTTGCAAACGAATTTGGATTCGCTCCTTCAATCTGGTTTTCAGAGAGATCCAGAGACTCAAGAGAGCTCATGTTTCCAATGAAATCGGGAATGAAACCAGTTAGATTATTCAAGGAGAGATCCAGATACCAAAGAGAGCTTATGTTTCCAGGGAAATCGGGATTGAAACCAGTCAGATAATTGTTGGATAGATCCAGATCCCGAAGAGAGCTCATGTTTCTAGTGAAATCGGGAATGAAACCAGCTAGATTATTGTTGGAGAGGTCAAGACTAAAAAGGCTTGTACTGTAATTGGACAACCAAAGAAATATTGACGAAGTGAAATGGTTGTTAGAGAGAAGAACATGCGCAAGAGATGTAGAAGATTTTGTTTTGTAAAGAGTAGTGGAAAGAATTGGAGTAGGAGGAGGAGGAAGACTGCAGTTATCCAATCTCAAGTCTACTAGTTTAGGGAGCTTATTAAGTACTGCTTCTGGCCAATCGAAAACAGTACTGAGATTGGCTCCGCTTAGGTACAAATCCGTTAAAGAAGAAAGAGCAGGGAGCCAATTGAGATTTTTTGGTTGAAGCTCATTATAGCTGAGGTCAAGATGTTGCAATTGCGTGAGGTTTCCAAGCCTATTGAGATTTTCTGCTTGAAGCTGATTATGGGCGAGGCCGAGATTTTGCAATTGCGAGAGGTTTCCAAACGAATTTGGAATTTGACCAACCAAATTACAGGAATAGAGACTGAGGTTTCTTAGATTGGTTTGAGAACCAATGAAATCTAGAAATTGGTTCCCATTGAAATTAATCAATGCAAGGTCCAAAACAGTACTGAGATTGGCTCCGCTTAGGTCCAAATACGTTAAAGAAGAAAGAGCAGGGAGCCAATTGAGATTTTTTGGTTGAAGCTGATTATAGGTGAGGTCGAGATGTTGCAATTTTGTGAGGTTTCCAAGCCTATTGAGATTTTCTGGTTGAAGCTGATTATAGCTGAGGTCGAGATGTTGCAATTGTGTGAGGTTTCCAAACGAACTTGGAATTTGACCAACCAAATTACAGTCACTGAGACAGAGGTATCTTAGATTGGTTAGAGAACCAATGAAATTTGGAAATTGGCTCCCATTGAAATTAAAGAATTCAAGGTCCAAATACGTTAAAGAAGAAAGAGCAGGGAGCCAATTGAGATTTTTTGGTTGAAGCTGATTATAGGCGAGGTCGAGATGTTGCAATTTCGTGAGGTTTCCAAGCCTATTGAGATTTTCTGGTTGAAGCTGATTATAGCTGAGGTCGAGATGTTGCAATTGCATGAGGTTTCCAAACGAACTTGGAATTTGACCAACCAAATGACAGGAATGGAGACTGAGGTTTTTTAGATTGGTTAGAGAACCAATGAAATCTGGAATTTGGCTCCCATTGAAATCAATGGATGCAAGGTGCAAATATTGTAAATGCTCCAACTCAATCAGTTTAGGACTAATCATCTTACCTTGGAAAGAATATCCAATATCAGGTTGAAACATCTCACCAAGATCAAGTTGAATGACATGGCCAGTTTGGTTGCTACAATAGACTCCTTCCCATCTGCA